GGGAAAGTGGAGTGAACGAGCAAACGGTGGTGTCGGTGTGTGTTCACACACACACACACACACTCAGAAATACGGATGGAACCAACTGCCTGGAGAAAAAGCTAAATGGAAAAACGATAAAACAACATTGAAAGCTTTTGACACCCACCCCAGGGGAGTAGGTAAGAGACGGGATAAGACGTTCTCCTTTAAACGTCCTATTTGACTTTTTAAACTGGTGTATGTATGGCTTCGATAAAAATAATGAAATGTTTTCTTTAATAAAAATTAGTTATTTGTGAGGTCCAAGTCATGTCACCGGTTCCAGACGCGGCGTGGTAGCAGGCACAGAAAGGAAGCGGCAGGGGTGACGGACAGAATCAAAGGGGACGCATCCAGCCTGGATCATTAATGTAACGTGAAGTCCAAGTACGGGACGACGTAAAAAATGACGAGCAGAAGGTTTTCAGAGCCGCCATCCCCAGCAGGAGGGCAAGCTCATCTGCAAGAGCCATGGCAGGAGCAGTGTTAGACATTTGTGTGTGACAAGATGACAGTTAAAAAAAAAAAAAAGTGAATTTAAAATTTTAAAGCATTCCTTCATTTCAAATATCAAAACCCAGAAGGCAAATTCACTCTGCATCAGGGGATTTTTTTCCCCCTATGGGTACCTCTGGCTGTGTATCTAATTGTAGTCAAGTAAAAATAAAAATAAAAAAATAAAAGGAGAGAACCGTGCGTCATCTGTAGAAAACATCCAAAGGCTTTACGGGGAAGGACACCTGCTCTGTGCTCCATGCTCCACCGAAGGGCTGGAAGCAGGAGAGAAGGTGGGAACTCATCAGACGACTAAAAATCATGCGGGGGAAAACGAACCCGTTTCTAAAACAAAACTGAACCTCCTCAACCAGGGAAAACAAGATGATTCCAAACCACCCAGCGACAGATGAGTAACCAAGGAGGGGATTCAAATCTAGATCTGCGTTTCTCCGAGCGCTGGCGCTGGGAAGACTGTGTGGGAACGCCCCCCCATGCGGAAACATTTGAAAGTTCAAGGGCAACAGAGTGCGGTAGGAACGTGACTCAAACTTATGCCCAGAGCACCCCCTGCTGGGCGCAGGAGAGACTGCCACAGACGTGGTGCACGACGGACCAACAGCGCCAGAGGTGGCTTACTCATTAAAATTAGGTCTGAGTACAAAATGAAACGTCTTTCCGCACTGACGCCTGCTACACTGAGGAGCGAGGGCATGTTATCTGGAAGTTCCGCTGACGTGGGGACGTGGGGCATCACCCCCACCCTAAGAGAAAATGCTGTGCACACTACAGCGGCATTTTCTTGAAACCACCCGGGGTAGGCAGATAAAAAGCCCCTCATCCATGTCTTAATCTCTGGAATCGGCGCATATGTGACCTCACACAGCAAGCGAGGACGTCCAGAGGTGATCTCAGGTGGGGGGAATACCTGCATTATCCAAGCGGGCCCAAAGTG